CCATCAATACCCAGAGGAAAGACAGCAGCCAGAGACATCATGCAGCCTACTGCTGTCATGTTGTTAAGGTAGGGCTGAGAGTTCTGAATGTACCTGGAGCAACAGCACCAACAGTTATTTTAAAGAAGCAAGTAGAAACATAGTGTATGTATTCGGATGATTACTTTTAAAATGCATTTCACCACAAACCACAGAATGCATGGCCTTCAGTGGAATTTGTTATGTATTCTACTAAAATACTCATAGTCAATAAAAAGTGAACCCGCTGGTGCTTTGAGCAGTAACAAAACCTCATAAAGGTTTGAACTAAATGCTGACACAGACAGCGAAAAGGATTCTTTACAACACAATGCACACTGTCTCCAATGATGTTACCCTTTCTATGACTACTTATAGAGTACTTATAGAATATTCTATGATATGACACATTTATTTGTGTCATATCATAGAATATTAACAAAAGATTTAGCTGATTTATTTTTACTGCAGCTCAAAAGCCAACATTAAAACAAAGTAACTCTCAGTCAGTCCTTGTTTACTTGTTTCAAATGACTCAAAAAGCTTTCTAAATGTTTTGGTTCTTCCTCAGCATCACCATTTCTGCATAGCTCTTGCATGGGTAGTATCTCGCCTCTTGCATAACAAAAAATGTATTTGCTCTATTGTTTATATAATTAGTACAAAGTGAAAGTAGAGTTGAGTTTTTGTACCTGACGTTGCTGTTGTAAATATTGAAAGTGAGGCAGACAATTCCCAGAAGGATTCCCAACCCAGCAAAGACAGACACAGACACAAAGAGCTTCTGAGACAGGTAGCGAAACTCTTCAATGACCACTGTCTGGTCTGCAGGAGGTCCAGAGCCTAACAGACACACAAAACATGAAGGTTAGGAACACTTTATGCAACAAAGGACATGAGCAAGAGGGATCAAGGGGAAACTAATTAGCAGAGCAGAAACACTAAATGCATGCCAGTGTTTGGTCTCCTGTCAGTTTAGTGTCTAGCAAAGCCCATCCTCCAAGAGCCATTAATGTTAGTAGTGAGTCACACACAGTCACATAATATGTGGCCCCATTGGCAAGGTTAATTTACCACTGACATTGCAACCAGCACTAATAGGTACAGAAATGCAGCTCTGGACTAAACGTCTGGATTATCTTTTTTAACTGATTTCCACGTTGTTCATGAGTCATTTCCCAGATTTACAAAGCAACATTGTGAATCCAATTCATCTGATTTGGTCCAAATCACAGTAACAACAGATGTACTGGAAAGGTAATAACAAGACAACCCCCTCCAAAACAGAATAGTTTTTTCACATGTTACTAGTTAGTATTAGTTAGTTCGTTTGCACTGCACAAGACACTAAATAATGTGGATTGCACAACACTGGACATTATATTCTTCATTTCCATTTAATACTTGTACAGCTGCTGTTATTGTGTATATATATATTTTATATATATATTTATATTTCTTCATACATTCTTATATATTTCTATACTGTGTATTGTGTATTTTGTTGTACAGTTATTTTATTTTCAACTTTACTTTATATATTTTATTCCTTCCTAGTTAAATTTACCCTTTTTAATTTTCATATTTATTTCCTATCTTATTCATAGCCTTTTCTTTTTTTTGTTTAGGTCACGAGCAGTTGTCTAAGCATTTCACTGCATATCGTACTGTGTATGACTGTGTATGTGACAAATAAAATTTGAATTTGAATTTGAATTTGAGTATAGTAGAATGTTATTCAAAAATATAACAACAGCAAATAAGGACTGTTTGCACCCTATGGCTACAAGTCACAAGAATAGGCTGGTTTTAAATGACAGCTGGCAATGATAAAGCATTGTTGGAAAGTTTTG